ACAACTCTGATAAAAAAAAAAAATAGCCAAGACAATAAGAAACCAAGGCCTGTAGTCAAAGAAATTTCCTTGGGCCAAGTTTGAAATATAAAGAAATCCTTGGGTACATCTTGTTGTCACAAAATAACACCCTCTTCTTTCTTTGAGCTAAAAGGCATGATGATTCTCAATGGAATCCTCACAATTCTCTCTGGGAAGTTTGAATGCCTTCTGTAATTTAGTTAAATAGCTTTTAGGTATCACAGAGACACTTGTTACTCATGGAAGGAAAATGGATCCCTACAAGTGATTCTGGAGATCTCCTAATACCCATCTGGGGCTTCTTGTGGCCACATGACTCACTCTGTTCCCCAAACTGCAGTCGAGGGACAGTCGGTACACCAGCTCTTACACCACTTTCGCTGCTGCTCTGTTTACTGTTCCCTTTATTTACATAACTGGAGCTTCCACATCCTAACATGTTTTGCAAGCTGTCATGACATGAGAAGCTAGTAATCTGCTCTATTTTGCTTGCTAACATATTTTTGACATATTTTAGCTTTTGATTATAAGATTGCATCTTTGCCTGCTACCATCTGTCTCGACTCAATGGAACTCTGGCATTTACAAAAACAGTAGGGTGTAGTATTTCCTATATACTTGAACTCTACCAGCAACACACTATTTTCAGTCTTAACCAATATGTCATGCTTTCACACGTGAAGTCTGAAATGTTTGATATCTTGTGAGATCTGCCAGGGATAAGGAACGTATCTTCGCATCCAATTTGGCTGGGATGAGAAATATATTAGTGGGGAGAAGGGAGCAGTAGCCAGCTTCTAAATAAAGGTGGCCTTTGATGTGGTCTCCTTCGCCTTGCCTACATTTGTCCCTTTATCAGCATGATTGACATCTTTTGTGCAAATACATCTTCTCTTGGACTCTGCACCCTCCCTGCAGCCAACATTCTGGAGGTATATTTTCCAGCATGAAATAGTTATCCTAGTTATTCCTAGTTATTCACCCACATGTGGCAAGAAAGTACTTTGCTCCATGGTCTCTCTCTCTTTTTTTTTTTTTGTTCTTATCTTTACTCATTAGGGAAAATTACTCCAGGTTTGACCCAAAGGATTAGCTTGGTCCCTGTCTCTGCTGACAGCAGCTGGAGGACTGTGCAACACAGAGAAACGTGACATTGTATTCAAACAATGTGTCGGGGGAAAGGCCAAAAAAATGCACGGGCCTAACATGCATTTATTCAACACCGAGCTTAAATGAATTTATTATGCTCCCGGATTACACCCCATAGGCCAAGAAGCTGTCAACTATTGACATTTTCTTTTCTCTCCATGTTCTGACTTGAGTGTAAATATATTTGTCATGGGAATATATTGTATGCTTGGTTCAGTATATGCTCATTTCATCAGAAGGAAAGCTCTTATTATCTGTAATCACAGTCAACATCTTTGTTGCTTTAAGAAAGGAACGGGCTGCCGCTTGGATTTACATATGTATCTGGTACCTTTTCAGATTCAGTTGTGAATGCTGTTTTAGCCTTCATTTTGAATATGGGCAGCATGATCCATTTCCAGTGCAAGACTCCATTAGTGGTAGGAAGTATTGTTCAATCTGGTGTGAACCGTAGCTAGTTGGTTTTCTGTCTGGGGGCATGTTGCTGGCTGCTCAGGAGCAGCTGATTGCAGGATCTGGGTGCTAAACAAGTCAACTGAAATCACTTTTGATGAGACCAGAGAGGGAAGCATTTTGGACAAGCGATTCCATTATCTTGTGACTAGAAATCAAGTTTGTACTTACCTGGGTCCCGGATCCCCTTCCTCACCTGGTTTACAAGGTCAACTGTTGAACATAGAGAAAAGGCTGAGATCGAGTCTCCAGGTAATGGAGTCTCCATTTAGGATGGTTTGACTTAAAGGCTTTTGACTTTTTCAACTTTATGATGGTATGAAAGTATTAAGTACCAGTACTATTACTTTGGATTTTGAGTTTTTACCTTTTCTCTGGTTGCCAATATGCAATCCTCTCTTTACCCTGCAGCAATGAACTGCAGCTTCTGGTCAGCCATCAGATCATAGGATTTAAAACAAACCAGGGAGTATCCGTGGTGGAGCACACCTGTGATCCTTGGGAGGCTCAGACAGGAGGATCGCGAGTTCAAAGCCAAGTTCAGCATAAGTGAGGTACTAAGCAACTCAGTGAAACCCTGTCTCTAAATAAAACACAAAATAGGGCTGGCGATGTGGCTCAGTGGTCAAGCAGCCCTGAGTTCAATCCCCAGTATCCCACCACCACACACACACACACACAAACCCAAACCAGGGGCTGGCTGGGGTTCTAGCTCAGTGGTAGAGTGTTTGCCTAGCATGTGGTAAATCCTATGCCTAGCACTGGGTTCAATCCTTGCACCACAGTAAAAAAAATGGACAAAAAACCATGATATTTTTCAATTTATGAAAGATTATCAGGATGTAAACCCATTGCAAGTCAAGGAACATCTGAGATTGTGAGTTGCTGGAGGGCAAGGGACCTTGTTGTACCTCCTTAGCTCTTGTCCCTGGCACAGAGCAAAGAGACCATGCATGTGGAAATAAGATCAACTGAGGACAACAGTCCAGCTTTGATTTTATCATGTGCTTTTATGAATTTCTACAAGGTGAAAACACTGAGAAAAAAAAAAGCAAGGTAGATTGGAACCTTTTTGTGTGTGTGTGGTAACAGGATTGAACCCAGTACCTTTTAAATTTTTTATTGAGACAGGGTCTCACTACACTGCTTACAGCCTTGTGAAGTTGCTAAGGCTTGTCTTGGACTTGTGATCCTCCTGTCACAGCCTCCCAAGTCACTGGGATTATAGGCATGTGCCCCCACGTCCAGCTTGAAATGGTTCTCATGGAAGAGAGATACTTGATCTGGGACAGAAGACTGAGCAGGACTGGGGTGTGGGCAGAGGAAGCAGGAAGAATGTGCAAGGAACAGGAGTAGGGGCTGAGCTGTGGCTCAGTGGTAGAGCGCTCACCTAGCATGTGCAAGGTGCTGGGTTCGATCCTCAGCACCACATAAAAATAAATAAATGAAATAAAGGTATTGTGTCCGACTACAACTAAAAATATTAAAAAGAAAAAAAAAGAGCAGGAGAAGACAGGAGGGAACAATGAAACCAGGAGTGAACGGATGTGAAGGGAGAATGGTTTGACCCACCAACGCAGGTTGAAGCTGATTGAGGTACAAACCGGTAGGTAGAGCTGGGCAAGGCTACGGTACTCTGGAAAGACAGGACTATTCAGCTTTTTGTGGGAAAGACTACCTCCAGCTTCTCATGGGCAGCAAGCAAGGCGGGAAGGATGGTCTCTGGAATAACTAGAAAGAAGTGGCATAGGGGAATCTGAGGATAAGACGTACCATGGAGGAAGGCAGTGTGTCTAGAAAGGACATAAATAGAGGCTGGCTTACACAATGGTAATAATCATGTTAAGTAACATGATCGCTTTACTGTATAGGACAGCTAATACATTTCAGGTATTTTCAGCTATTGATAATAATATTGATGAAAAAATCCTACTGTATTTCATAAGTATACTTATCCTCACATTAAAGAAGAGGAAAGGCTCAGTGGTAGAGCACTTGCCTAGCATGTGTGAGGCACTGGGTTTGATCCTCAGCACCACATAAAAATAAATAAATGAAATAAAAGTAGAAGCAAAGTCATCGGTATAGGCTCCATAGCTAGTAAGGGGCAGAAAAGGATCTGAACTCTATTTAAGCTGTGCCCAAGAACATGGGAGCTGGTGGCTGATGGTCTGAATTGTAAGAAAATGAGGATGGAAGACATTAAAAAAAATGGGTGATGAGGTGGCCACTGGAGACCCTGGAGAGCACATTTTCTGTGAAAGGATATTGATGACTAAAGGAGCCAGCCTGTAGGTGAGTCAGTGGCCAGGAAATGGAGGATGTGGGGGCAGACCACAAAGTTGAGAAATTTGAAGGAAAATGAAGGAAATAAATAACATAGTCTTATGAGAAGGTTTCAAGGTCAAGCAAAAGATTTTTTAAAAATTATTTTTAAAAGGGAAGCCTGTGCACATTTGAAGATAGAATGAAGAAGACACAGAAAGTGCTAGAAGAGAGAGGCCTTTTGTAAATCAGAGGGGCTAAGGAAGGTAGGGGGGTGGGTGGGTTATAAGTGTCCATAACTGCCCCATAACTCTTTACATGATGAAGAGAATAGTCTACAAAGTGCTTGAGATATTCCTTCAGTGGTGCTGAGGAACTGAATTTTTTATTTTAACTTAAATTAATTAAAACAGCTACATGTTTGAATAACTAGTAGCTGCTACCTTTGGACAGAGCATGATCCTTAGAACACCAAGAGTTTTGCCTCCTGAAGAAGGGAACCAAATCCTGTCTCTGACTCAAAAGAGGAGATCAGAGAAACAAATCAGTGATGCTTCATATGCCAGGGAGGAAAAATGAGTTAGCCCCTGCCAGTGACCTTGCTGTTCGTTGGTTACACCTTGGTGCTAGCCACACTGTTAGATCATTAGTTTGGGAGAGCTCATCTGAGTAGTGAGACATTTGAAAACTCACATCCCAGTGTAGTTGCTTGGTCTAAATTTCCCTGTCTGCACCTGCCTGAGGAACTGAGGCATTGCCAGATCTCCCAGGGCACCATCATGCTCACCCTCAGCCTTTTGGTGGCTCTTGATCAAGGCGCTCCTTGTTCATGTAACAGAGAGATGGGGAGGTCTCTGTGGCAGGTTTCCTGAGATAATGACCATTTTTTGAATAGAGTTTTCTGGTTTCTGAGGGTCAATACAATCCTCCACTAATTTCCTAAGTCTCCCTTCTTCTTCCACATCCCTTGGTCACTTTGGATCTGCATTATTTTAAAGCCCAAAGATGTTGAACCCCCCCGGAGGGATTTCACTTAGACTTAGTAGACATTTTCTCGAAGAATATCCCACCAGAAAAACAGGTTATATGTCCTGTTTCCCTGTAATCCACAGGTAAACAAAGGAGAACCCCAAAATCTGCCTGCATGAGTAGAATCTCCCATCACGTCGTGGGTGCGCCCGCCCCGAGATGGTGGCGTGTGTTGTCTGGGCTGTTTTTCATAGTCTCTGCAGCTGGGAATACAAGATGCTATACTTAGGCAGAAGTCCATGAAGGAATTAATTGATATGAGCCAGAAGTTGATTGCCATTTAAGTACTCAGCTTCCACCATTGCCAAGTTTCCCTCTTTGCAGAAAGAACTGAGCTTGCCTGCAAACTGGCTCATTCAGGATATGAGCACAAGATGGAATTCAACCTTTAATATGCTGCAACACCTGCTTGGAAATAAAGGGGCTCTGTGCTTTTCCCCCCCAAGGAGTTGACAGCTGACTTCATTACAGAGGAATCTGGCAGAGGTGGTGGTGGCTACTCCTCCATCTCAGGAGGCACTCACCCAGGAATGCGGTGCCAACCAGACCTGAGCTTTGGGATCCTGCCAGAAACTCATGCTGGGCCATTTTATCCTAAAGCATCCCTCTTCCTTGAACTCTAGTTTTCAGTACCTTTGGTGGAAGCTTCCTTCACGCAAGGGAGTTGGTGAGGGGCTCTGGCCTGCTGAAGCTAAGTGGAGAAGCATTTGCAGGTGTTCTGTAATGGAAGCTGGATTTCTAAACTTCCTTTCTCAAGGGTTCTGTGATGCTGCACCCAACAGGCACAAGCAGACACAAAGTCAAGGCTGCCATGCTCTATGGAGTGGAACTTGAGGGTTGACTGGAGTCCTCATCCGAGTTCTGAAACAGACTCTGAGCTGCTGAGAAGCTTGGGTCAGCCTGTGGGGGCCCCTAGTAGGTCTCTGATGCCATGATCTCCGATTTGGGCTGAAATATTGGTGATACTTATCAATTTAAATTTTTTTTTTAGTTAGAGGTAAACACAATGCCTTTATTTAATTTATTTATTATGTGGTGCCAAGAATCAAACCCAGTGCCTCACATATGCTAGGCAAGTGCTCTACCACTGAGCCACAACCCCAGCCCTGATACTTATCAATTTTCAAGGTAGAGTTTCAACTCTATCATCGATGTGCGTGATTTCCGAAAACATACTAATCTGGCCTCTAATAGCCAGAGTAGCATCAGTGGATATTAACTTTCTATTACATGTTATCCTTCCTCTCTTAAAATAATCTACTTGAAATCTCAATGTCCAGGATTGAGATCCAACAGATCATATAGAATAAATCTGTCTGGTGGATTACTGCTCATTCTTAAGCAAAGCAAAGTAGCTGCAGGGATACTTCAAAACTGCATATAGTTGCACATTTAAAACAAGGCACAATTCAAACTTATACAGCAAAAAATCAGATTGTTATTTTAAATTATTACTTAAAAAAATAACTGGAATTAGGGGAAAAAAAGATATAGTTGATGCTTTAGAGGTCAAAACTGGCAATCTGAGTCAGGCCTGGCCTGAAAGTACATCTCATATGGTCTACACAGTGGGAGTCAACAGTTTGAATTTTTCAAAAATGGAGTAGGATGCCAACATTTGGAAATTGGAACATAGCATATAACCCCCTGGGTTGCTGGCTCCTCCTGAGACCCAGGCAATATGGCACCAGGAATCCTTTACCTGCAGGCTCCAGGAAGGGCAGGTGAGTTGGACATTGACTCTCAAGGCTACCAGAAGTCCCACTGGCCCAGGTTTCTCACCAGTTGTGTTAGTACTCCCTGGACCAGGTAAGGATGGGCTTCTGGATCATTTTCCCTTGTCTCCTTCTCCTCACAGTGGATACTGGTGATGCTGTTACTTTAGAGTTAAAATAATTAGATGATGCTCAGTTGTTGAGGGAAGCATGCTGAAGATCCATGCTACTTTTCTACTCCTCAGATGTTATTTTGAAGCTTCAGTCCTGAGTCCAATACACTCCCCTGAGAATGCAAGTTTGGATCAGTGTGTCTCATGCTTGGCCATCTTAAATTCCCCTGGGGAGCTGTGGATACCCGGCTTGCACTCTAGGCCAATAAATCCTCTGGGTTGAGACTCAGACAATGTAATTAAAAAAAAAAATTGTCATGGTGATTTCAGAATAAAGGGGGCCTTTAGGCCCTTGAAAATTCATACAAACCTTTCCATGACAGCAGCTTCTTAACCTCGGTATCATTGACATATGGGGCCAGATAATTCTTTGTTCCTGTGCATTGTCCTTGGCCTCTGCTCATAGATGCAACAGCATTCTATGAGATGAGAACCACTGCATTCAGTCATAAAATTATGGTCAGGAGTGGTGTTTATTATGTTGGCCACCCAGATATAAGAACTTTGAGAAATTTCTTTTGGAATCATGTGCCAGGAAAGCATTTTCTCTTGGGGAACTGATATATTTCTTTCTTTTTGGTTACTTTCCCTCCTTTTACTGCTGGGAAGCTCCAAGTCTGTACCCCAGTTGGATTTCTTCCCCTCTGACTGCAGGATGCTGATTTCCTAATTAATGCTTTGCTAATCTTTATTCTAAGCTCCCTTTTATCCTTAGGGAATGAGGTAGAATAAACAAGGTAACCTGTCAGAGGCTGGAATGACCATTCCAAGCACTGTGCAGTATGTATGATCCAAGGAAACATGACTTGCAAGGAGGAAGGCCCTGCTAACCATGGACTACCTGTGGTCAATGAGGATCAATCAACTATCTGGAGCAGATAATGCTTAGCCCCTCTGGCCTCCCAGCTTTGGGAAGAGGCTGAACCCTGCCTGTGTTGGAGCAGCCTGAAGGCCAGTGGTGGGAGCCCACTCAGAATGGTGAGTACTGCCTCTCTTGTGTCTAAGAATGTCAACTCCTGGTGTTGACCCGAAGTCTGGGAAGCCTCTGAAAGGCAAAATCGCTAAAGGCAATTTGGGATCCATCCCTGGGATAACACCATCACCTGCTTTCCATAAATATAAAACAGCTTACATTTGGTAAAATACAACCCACTCATTAATAACCAGAAGTTTTAAAGCTTTTAAAAAATCATTATTAAGTGTGGCTCTTTCATTTTAAATGCAAAATCCTGAATAGACCAGAGATCTTAATTTTTTTAAATATAGCTGAGTATTTTAATTATGGATGTACTTGCATATTCTCAGCATACTTCATTATTTATGTAGCTGGTGAAAAAGCTTTTTAATTAAATAGCATGCTGGCAATCCATTGTGAAATGTATAGATGTAGGTTTTCCTAGCATGAAAAAGTTAAACACGCAGACAAGAGGGTGCACGTACGTACATGCACACACACACACACACACACACACACAGCATTCTGGCAAGTATATGTAATCATTAAAAAGTACTTGTTTTGAAATAATCTTAAAATTTGGCCTTTTAAATATCGAAAACAAAATAAATAGTGTAATGTGCGCTACTGCTTGATTGTTCACACTTAATGCATTAGCCTAACTTGGAAATGGAGTATTGGTTCTCAAAGTATGGCCCATCCACTAGCAGCATTGGCATCATCTGGAAACTTCTTAAAAAGGTACAGTTTTGAGCCCCACTGAGTCTGCAGCTCTGGGAGTTGGATCTAGCACCTCAGGATGTAACAAGCCCTCCAGGGATCCTCCTGCAGGCTGAGGTCTGAGAATCACAGAGTGAGGATTATGCCTTGGGGTGCTGGTGATGTCACTTTCATGGACAGGTCCCCTGGTGATAAGAAGAGCACGATAAATTCAATTGGTCTATGCTGTAGTTTTCTCACCAAAAATGTACTGTGAAGATTCTTACCTGTTTAAAGTTTAAAGATCTACTTGAGATCTGCAGAGCTTAAAAGGGGTCTAAAGACCCATAGTAGGTTAGGTATTTTAAGCATGATTTGGATGATTTTGACAAAACATGTGTATCAGGGTCTAATGTACACAGTCTGTTATTCTCCTTCAAAAAAATACACAAAATGTCTGCAATTAGAGCTCCTAATAATTCATGATTTTTATGGCAGGCTGTGGTGACAGTCATCTTCCAGAACTACCCCATGCCTGTGTGAAGGCTGATGACCAAGTTCTGTCACCTTCCCTGGCCGAGTGATCCAAGGCCAGGAGGTGAAGCAATTTGGAGAAGACCCCATTGGGATCAGTGCCAGAACCAGAACTAACAGCCATCTGACTCCCTGCTCTGTGCTTTGTCTTCTGAACAATGCTGCTTCTTAAGTACACATAAGCCAAACTGCCTCTCAAATTGCAGCCATCTACTTTGAGTTCAGATTTGCACAGCATGACATGAATTGGGCTGCAAATTATGCAGAAAACAGCCATCACATCCATCTGTGATGTCAGAATCCTCAAGTACATCGTGACCTGTTAGTATCTAAGAGAGTGGAAGTAGACTGGGTCTGATTCCTTCCCTGTGCAGTATGATGAATATCCTCCCAGATGCATTTGGCCCAGTGTGAAAAGGTTAAATATGATTGAGATTATGCCTGGGATATGCTCAAGAGCAGATTTCATATCCAAGGGTGCTGGCAATTAGATTTTTTTAAAAAAAATGATAGAGTAACTAGAAGAAGAAAACACACAAATACACTCATACCTAATGGTAAACTGAATTTATTTCCTCTTGGAAAACAATTCCAGTAATCTCCAGGTTCAGACCGCAGAGTAAACATTAATAACAGTAACATACAGGTTAGTTCAACTGATTCAAGAATTTGGCTGTGTGAATCATTAAGGAAAACCTTGAACACTCAAAGCTTCAATTGTATCCAGGAAAAAAAAAATTCTTTTGACAGTCTACATAACAACTATTGCATATATAGTGATGCTACCTGTCACATCGCAAGGCTTACAAATATATATACGGGCCGTATCCAGCTTGGGGTTCTGTTCTGTGAGAACATCTCTTCATGGTTTGCAAGAATCTTCAGCAATAAAAAATAGTCTTGGATTTTAACTGTTGATATACCAAAAGAGAAATTCTAGGCTTAAGTGTAAATAAAAGGAAGTCCAACCATAGTCCCATGTGTAACAGTTGTTTTTAATCTGTCTTCCTTGAAAATACTTTCTCTTAAGCCATCTTGTTCACTTTTTTTTTTAAAATCTTGCCTGAATAGGGCCCAAGTCCACTTGTCTTTATAAGACCATTTTAGTATCAGACGACATAATACATGTGCAACACTTTATATACAAGGAGTCTATCCGGTGCTCAAAAGTTCAAACACATGAACATCCAACAGTTTTGATAATACAAGTTTTATGGTACAATACAATGTTCTGAATAATATACATTAACAATGAAAGTTTCGTGCAAAGAGTAAAACATGTTCCCTTTTTGTGCCACAAAAGTAATTCTCCTTGAGAGACTGTACTTGCACTAACTGCTGTGTTGGGTCATCGTATGATTCTGTAAAAAAAAAAAAAAAAGAAAAAAGAAAAAGAAAGAGAGGGGAAAAAAAAACTTGAGTGATTTTTGTTTTCATCAGAGCAAGCATAGATAAGTGCCAACGGATGTGCTTAGGTGTTCCTGGGGCATTACCTTCTCACTGTCCACAGGGAGGCTCAAACCAGGCAACTCCTGAGCCTGCCTGGGGTGGCCAGGTGCAGGGAAGCTGTCGCCTGAGAGTACTGGGAGGAAGAGTCAGGGCCAGCGGACTAGAAGGGGAGATTTTGGTGGCACTTTCCCTTTTCTCTGCCTCTGCTATGCCTTCCCGGAATACTCTCCCACTTTCCACCATCTCCACTTATCAAACCATGGTCCATTTTTCAAAGACTAGAGTAGCACCATTTTAACAGTTTTTGGTAGCTTTGCATTATTCCTATTAGTATGCTTGGGTTCTAACCTCTCAGATGATGAGCATCTTGACAGCAGGGGCTCATCTGTCCCTGAATATGGACATCCTAGAAGGCAAACGATACCTGGCCAATGATGGACAGGGGGAAGTGTATCCAGCCCCTCTCCTGAGGGTGTTCTGGGAACTGTAGCCACCTCATGGTTCAGGAGCATATCTCAGCAGGCTGCTGTGACTTCCTGGTCCCCAGATGCTATTGTTCTTTTGTGCTGTAGTTTGTTCCTCTGTTTCTGAGTGAACAAGCTCTTTCCAAATTGTGAGAAAGCACCTGGGACACCTCGGCCAACATCCAAGCCAGGAGGGTGAAAAATAGGCAAGCAGGCTCCAAATGCAGGCAGGACAGTAGCAGAGTCCCCTCCTGCATGGAGGACGCCATAGGCGTATGGGAATTCATCTGGGGTCTAAGCCTGGAGATGGTCAGACTTCTCCCTGTCCCTCTGACTTTTCCTGGTCATGTTCTCCTATTGTTCACATTGTACACACTCTCCTCACTCCTTCTGATCAGAGCTTTGAAGCTGAGCTTAGAATACAAACACTTCCATCCTCATCCATCCAGCTTGGAATTCCTCTCTCCCTTCTCTGATTTTCTACTGCCCTTTATGTTGCACCCATCTTAGGTCTTGTCTCACAGCCACTTGTAGGCCTGGGTCTTGGCCTTTGTCAGTAATTCTGAGGTTTATTCACCCTTCATAAGCATCTGTGCAATGCTTACCTGGCACAGCCCACAGCACCCAGTGCTCAGTAAAGAAGATCTGGCCAATCGAGTGACAAGGCAATGAGAGAGATCTAGTCCCTGCCATCATGCTTTCAAGGGCTCAAAGAAGGAAGTGGTGGACACATTGTGGTCAAGCAATATGGCAAGGAGTATTTTAGAAAGGAATGAAGGCAAATCCTGGCTCCACCTGATCTGGCCTAGCCGAGAAGGGAGGCTTTGCAATAGGGACAGCACACTGACATTATCATTGAGGCTGCAAACATGAGACGGGGATGCAGAGAAGACTCTCCAGGCTGAAGGACCCACACGAGGAAAAGTAATGAAGCAAGAACATGCAGGTATGTGTGTGAGGCCCTGCAGCTCGCTCAGGTTGACTGAAGTCTTCTAGAGTGTTCTCAATCAAGAATACTTAAGGGAAATGAAGATGGAGGTTAGTTTGAGGAAAGATGATGAAGAACCTTATAAACCTTACTAAGGAGTTCAGTCTTGGTCTTTCAGGTGGAGAGGAGCTGCTGGCATAATTTGAAGCAGAAGGCTTTGTCTTCAAGATCTTGTCAAACCCCTGACTACAACCAGCCAACTGCCTGCTGCTCAGGAAACACAGGCTGAGTGACTGAGGGTTAGTGGCTGAAGTTTGCCCAGCTCTTCCTTCCCCTGTTTCAGAATTAACTTATTTGTGAAGGAGATTGATAATGGGAATATGCCCCCTTCCCACAGTGAGAATCACTGTCAATAGTGGACAGTTAGGACTGTCTGTGGAGACCCTGTCATGGCCCTCAGTGGGGCTGGAGAAAAAAAAAAGAATAAGAAAAAAGTGACAAGGAATATCACTACTGATGAGGAAACTTCATTTTATTTTTTCTTATTTAAAATGTACCTGCTTTGATTAACTAGTACTAGCCTCGAAGTACATTTGCAGTAAACTACTTTAGTGCAGGCTCTTTACCTCGGTATTGATTTCAAATGTGTCTGAAAAGTATTTTTCACAAGACATACTCAAAATACTGACGAGAGCAAATAACTGTCTTATTTCCTTAGAAATCAAAGCAATTATGATCAGAGGTTTATAAACAATAAAAAATTTAAATACCCAAAACACACTCTTAGATTTCTCATAGTGTTTGCTATCCCAAAGTCTTATAATCCTACAGAAAGGTTTTTACTTAAAAAAATTACAAAAAAATAAAGAAGTATCAGAAACTATGGCACTAGTTATCTAAATGATGATATACTGGCAGAATTATAGGTGATTTTAAAAATTTTACCATAATCAATGTAAAAAAGAAATCAATTTAATAAAACATCATTTTAATATTGAAATCTATTAATGTGGATAAAATTCATTCTTTGTATTTTTCCCTATTTCCTACAATAGACATTGGCATTGTTTCTAATTTTTAATGCAGCACTAAACATTTACATCTTTGTATATATAAATATAAACACATATGTGTATATATATGTTATATATACATGTGGGTATATATATATATATATTAATCAGGTATTTTTGAATGAAGTGTTTACAGAATGCTCCATTTTTTAAAAGGACTCTAATAAAGGATGACACATTGGAACTTCTCCAGTGTTTTTTTAATGTGCCTATGTTGAGATATTGCAAATCATGTGCTTTAAATAAATTGTCCATAAGAGTTGGCAATAGTTGAGTCTTAGATCAGGACTTTCATCCTAAACCCAAGCCATAAGGGTCTCTTCAGAGGTGCAAAGAACTGAGCAAATATATAATACATATACATCACTTACTGCAACAGATTGAAGTCCCTTCTATGAAGGAGTTATGCTTTGCATGTAAGAGATAAGAATGCAAATCATTTTTGAGAAGGACAAGAGTAGGGCATGTGAAATATAAGCTTATACAAAAGTAAAGATCCCTGATATAAGTAACATAAAAATGGGAAAGTGGCATGAAAAGTGATAGACATGGAGTCCTCTTGGTGTGGAGATGCCTGCACAACACTGAGGTCCCTTGGTCTCATTTTTCTTTGCTCCAGCCCAATTGAGGGCCACAACAGGTCTCTGCAGTACTGGCTGTCCACCAAAACAGTGATTATCATGGAAGAAGGCACATTCCCAGAGGTTCTTTGGAAACAGGCATATTTGTGTTTGGGAGGCAAAAAATCCCAGATGACTTTGCTCCATCCTCCCTCAAGGGCTGGCCCTCATTGTCTTTGAATGTCCCTGGGGATGTTTCTGCTGTACCCCCCCCCCCCAATGTGTTATTCCAAATCCTTTAAACATATGAAAAGTCTCCTTTCACTCTCTGAAGGAGGAATGGCATGTCTCAGCCACACAGTTTACCCAACTGGCTTGTAGGTGTGGCAAAGAGCAGATGCCAGGTCACAGTCTCAAGACATGACTGGAGGTCCTCTTGGAAGACAAACCAGATGCTTCATGGGAGTGATCAGTGATTTTGTGTTTTGGAAAAAAAAATCATAGACATCATTTATTTAGAAAAGGGGATAAGAAGCAAGTAGAAAGATAAAATATAGGCAACAGAAGCACCGAGCTGAAAGGGCAGGCTCCCGAGGCATGGCCTGCACTTGCCCTGGCTACCGGCCATACCGCAGAGCCAGTCCTGAGACACTGAGGACACAAATGTGCACAAGCAAAGTGGGAAACCTGCTGCCAGGCCTTCCTCAAGCAGCCTTCTCTGTGTAGGAGTTTTAGCTTTAGGTCTGGAGGAAACCACTCCACTAGAACAAAGCAGTGGGTAATCTCACCAATTTTACACAGCAATTCACAGTCCCCAAAGTACTTTAATGCAATGACAGGTTATGAGAAAAAATATCTGTTCCAATGAAGGGAAAGTGTTTTACATAATCGAGAAGAACATCAGTGCAACATTGGTGGAGGTGGGGGGTGATGACAGAGAAGGAAGTGCAAGAGAAGGAAACTTCTGTAATCCCACAGAGAGCCATATTCTACTCTGCAAAAAGCCATCTCCTGGAGACCCCATGTCTAAGTAACTGAAAATTGCAAACCATTAATCCCAGTTATGAACAGTTGTTTTACACGAGGGGGGTTCGTGTTTAAAGGAAAAAAAAATCAAATCCACAACACACCTTAAAGCTTAAAAGAAGATCCATCTAGGTATGATACCTTAATAGCAAGGTTTCAAAAACACTCTTTACGGTACAGGGCCCCATTTGGAAGGAGTGTGCTCTTTTTTTTTTTTCCTCTGTAAATGTGAAATTAAACTTAGGAAGCTAAAAAAACAGATGAGGGTCTTAAAAATTCCCTCCTAGCACCATGTATTTCTTTTTAAAATATGAGATGCCTTCCATTTTATAAGACTGGAATTCTCATCTTGGGCTTGGCATTCTAACAAATGATTAATTCAGCCTCCTCCTCTCTGAGAGCTGACCACATTTGCTGGTCAAACGGTTTAATCCTATTTTATATGAAAGCCAAGAAAAATATTTTTAAATAAA